GCTTGGGGAGGGCTGATGGAGGGGCCCCAAGCCACTGGGAGAGTGGCTATCCCTGCATGGGCAAGTGTCCACCTTCCCTGCCCCCAGCACAAATCCCAGCTTTATCCACTCAGTTCGAACTAGGCGCTGAGGGGAGGGGCGGGGATCCTGCCTGTTTCCTGCAGGGGAGCTCTGATTGGGGAAAACGGCAGAAACATCCAGAGCCAACTCATTCCAAAGGGGCCTGTTGGCACCCCTTTTCCCAGAGCCTCAGCCTCCTGGGCCCTAATCCTGCTTAGAACAGGAAATTGGAACCAGAGGTGGGAGGAGAGGAAGCCCCCGCAGATTAACCCCTTTAGTGGACACACACATACATGTGGTTTTTATTAAGGAAAAGCAGGCGGAGTCTTCATGCCTGAGCTTGTGTGCACCTTGTTCTGAGGGCTAAACGAGAGGCTATGCTTCGGGGTCACTTGGGTTGGGGGGGCGGTGGCAAGGATCCCTTACAATTTTGTGAGAAAATCAGCCCTCCCCCCAGGAGGTGAAAGGACTGCCTGTGCCCCTCCCTTCCCCACGGGCCTGGGCAGCGGCCCTCTCGCTGAACAGAGCCAGAGCTGGTGGGGGCAGCCCAGGAGATGGAAAGGCATGTGAAGGCTTGCCATCCTGTCCCCGCCCATGCCCCACCCCTCACAAACCACCATTCCCATGGCTGCAGCTGGCACTGTGAGAGGGGGATGGCCCTTCCCAGGATCCTGCAGAAGGGGCCACACCTCTACATGCCTGATGCCACAGCATCACCCCTGGGATTGCAGTCCTGGCAGGGGGTCCAATGGCCCCCTCCTTCCCTTACCCCTGGAGGGAAATAGACTCTTCAGGGGACCCACCGTCATATGCTGGAGGTCCCAGGGAGCTGGAAGAGCCCCAGCCAATAACAGAGAGGCCGTGCCCCTTTCCTTGAGCAGGTACCATCTGGGGGCCAGCAGGAAGGGCAGGGCTTGGGAATATGTCCCCCCGAGGGGATGGATGGGGAGCTCAGTCCCCTCAGCTCTGATGCACAGAGAAGCAGCGTTTCACCACCCAGGAGAGTCCAGGACTCAGGGGGCAGGGTCTCCCACCGCTGGACCGAGTGTCCTGGGGCCCTGCCTGCAGGCCAGGCAGGGCAGGAATGGGGTCCCAACCCCGACACTGCACAGACACTGGGGGGAGAGGAGGAACTCAGGCCAGCCTCTTCCAGAAACCACCTCAGCCTGCATGGAGGGAGAAACCAAGTCAGTCTCCTCGGGCCGAGGCCAAGGCCAAGGCATGGCCGCCTCTGTGCCCACCTCTGTTCAGCCTTTGGTTTTTTCTTTAAATGCAGGTTCTTTGTAACTGAGAAGTTCTCTCTACCGCTAAAGAGGAGGAGGCCAGGGCAGCAGCGCCCGTGGGTTATGTGGGGCAGAGCAAGAACCCTGAAAAGGAGGAGTGGATGTACTCGGTGGAGTAGAGGCCATTGGCCTGGTCCGAGGGCATCTGCACCCACACCTGGTCGTTGGGCCGCAGCTGGAGCACAGCGCCGCCAGAGGCCTGGTCCAGGTAGCCTTTCTTGTACTCGTCGTAGGTGTAGGTGGCGGGCACGTTGTTCTTGTACAGGGCCACCCACACATTGGTGCCCTTGACATGCACGTGGTAAGCAAAGTAGTAGACCCCACCCACAGGGCAGGTGAAGATGCCGGTAGCTGGGTTGTAGCCACTGTGGCCGTTGTAGAGAGTCCGGTCAAACTTAACAGGCATGCCGGAGGCAGGAAAGGGTGAGGTGAGCACTGCGGTGAAGGCAGGCGTGGCGTGGGCCGACAGCTCTCCCAGCCCAAACTGCGGCTTGCCGCCCTTGCCCAGCACGGCGCCCTCCACGCCACCATTGGGCAGGTGCAGGCCCGCGATGCCAGTCTCATCGAAGGCCCCCGGGGCGCCAGGGGGGCCAGGAGGCCCCGGAGGCCCAGGAGGGCCTGTGAGTCCTGGGGAACCTGGGACCCCAGGGGGGCCTGTTGGCCCAGCCACACCAGGCTCCCCCACTTTCCCCTCTCCAGGGGGCCCTGGCAGGCCTGGTTCACCCTTTAGGCCCGGCAGACCCTGTGGCCCGATAGGGCCAGCTGGGCCCTGGAGTCCTGGTATTCCTGAGGGGCCTCTCAGGCCGGGCTGCCCAGGGAGCCCCAAGTCACCCTTCTGTCCCAGGGCTCCTGCCACCCCTGGTCCCCCAGGGCGACCTGTGAAACCCTGTTCGCCCTTGGGCCCAGTCGGTCCAGGGGGTCCATGGGCCCCTGGAAGCCCCCTCTCTCCTGGGAGCCCAGGTTTCCCAGCCAGCCCATTGGGCCCCTGGTCACCCCGAATGCCAGGCAATCCTGGGGGTCCTCCAGGCCCTGCCTCCCCCTTAGGCCCAGGGAGCCCACGTCTTCCAGGGAGCCCTGCAGACCCTGGGAGTCCAGGGGGCCCCCCAAGGCCTTGTGGGCCCTGCTCCCCTGGTTCCCCATCCTCACCTGGCTCACCCCTGTCCCCCAAGAGCCCTGGGACCCCAGCTTGGCCCTTGTCCCCCTTGGGGCCTGGCAATCCTGGCATCCCATAGCCAGTGGGGCCTATCAGACCAGGGGGGCCCCGGGTCCCTGGTTCCCCTTTGGCCCCTGCTGGGCCCTGTGGCCCTGGCACCCCTGCTGACCCTGGAATCCCCATCCCGTCCATCCCAGGTGGCCCTTTTGGGCCCAAGGCCCCTGGCTCCCCCCTGGGTCCTGGCACCCCGGGAGGGCCAGATGCGCCCTTATCTCCAGGGGCCCCAGGAAGCCCATCCAAACCTGGTTTGCCCAAGCCAGCTGGGCCAGGGAGGCCAGGGGGTCCAGGGGCACCCCCCTGCCCTGGGGCCCCAGGCAACCCTGGCTGGCCGACCCCATTATCCCCCTTGAGACCTCGATCACCTGGAGGCCCAGGTTCCCCCTGGGGCCCTGGCTCCCCCCCAAATCCT